CACACACACACACACACACACACACACACACACACACACACACACGCACACACACACACACACATGATTTTATGATAGTAAATTTTGAGTGCAGATGCAGCATACACAGTTACAATGAAAAATACAAAAAGATACAATAATAATAACATGAATGCAGTAAGAGTTTGGTGCACTCAAGCAAAGTCTGCAGAGATTACTTAGATTACTATAAGCAAGAAAAATGTTACAAGTGAGAACAAACAAGTGGCAGCTCGACAAAATAAGACGTGTTCACAGAGAAGGTTATTAGGAGCGACGGTGTGTGCGATTCTCCTGTGATTTCTGCAGCAGCAGTGTAACACACAAACATGCACATACAGTTAGCTATATGGCAAAGGTATGATCTCTGACAAAAACAACAGTTCTCCTGGACAGCATGGACTTTATTCAGAGAAGGAAAACACAGGCAGCGTGTTGTTGATGACAGAGGTCACAACAGTTCAAATAACCTCTCTCTATAAATAGACTGATACTGCATCCTCTCACAGTCAAAATCCCAAATCTCAAACTGCTTTAGAAACGAACAGTTGTGACTTCCTGCTGGCTACCAGACTGAAATACATAACAGCACCTTTATAATGTGGTACAACTGGACATCTGCAGCATTTCCTGTGCAGAGATGTGTTTCAGTCAAAATGCATCCTTATCTAGACTCTGTTGCACTTTTGTTGGAGCAAAAGAAACCTTAGTCTTAGGATGGCGTTCCTGACAAATAAATAAAGTTTGCTATGACTTCATGTCCATCTAGGATAATGCAAGTCTGGGGTTATTTGAAAGTAGTGGGGAACTGGCAGTTACATCCAGTATTCAAATACGCTCACGCGCCTACAGTGCTGAAGGTGTTAATGGTTCTGAACAAGTTTGCATTGATGTCAGTGTGACTTCCTGAGCTTGATGAAAGAATTGAACTTGCACACCTGGACAGATGCTAGGTGTGGGAATTTAGTATTATAACAACATGCACTGATGCTATGACAGCTATGAATTCTGCTGCTGGCTGCAACCAATAAATACTTCATCTGCTTCTTGCATTACACCTCCCACACTGTGTTTTATTTGCCCACTGTCAGGACTACTGTTGGTACGGCTCTGCAGTTCCAGTGGACGACGGACAAGAGGATATCTGACAGGTAATACATCTAGTAAGGCTATGCTTATGTAACTGACTTAAATAATAAACACCTGTGTGTGTGTGTGTGTGTGTGTGTGTGTGTGTGTGTGTGTGTGTGTGTGTGTGTGTGTGTGTGTGTGTGTGTGTTAGAAGGAGACAGAAAGATTCTGTGTACGCACCTTTTGGTCCCAGTAGCTGGGCCTCTGTAGCTTTTCTTCCATCTCCACAACGCGCTTCATCAAATGGAGGACACTGCTCACCTGTACCAGCCACTACTTCTCCATTACCTGTAGACACACACACACACACACACACACACACACACACACACACACACACTAAGCATTAATCAGAGAAAGGTACAAAGCTGCAGACTCACTGGAGTCTCATATGACAACACTGTCTTATAACTACATTCATAACAGGAAGTAAAAATGCTGATGCTTACTGATGAGGTCACGGGCACCGCTGAGCACTTTGGGGCGGTAAATCCGTCGTGAGTTAGTGTCGGACACATACAGCTGCCCTGTTACTGGGTCAGTGGCTAAGTAGTACCGGTGAGCAGGGTTGTTGCTGTGGAGCGCAGTGAAGGGGAACAAATAAGAAAGACAGAAGAAAACTCATTAGAATGACATCTGTGTCACATCCCTGATAAGTTATCAGCTGTAACACATTTAGTAACCAAACTAATCACACTGTTGTGTTTGCTTTCACAAGGTAAATCTGCTAAATGTGTGGACAGATAAAGATCGAACTGTGCAAGTCTACAACTTCAGAGGAGTGAAAAACTGAATTTTTATTTCATTACACAAGAGGAAAAGTTACAGAAAAGCAGGGAAAAGCTGTCCCCTGCTGCTGAAATGACACTGATACTGAGCAGCTGCAGGACAGCATGCTAACAACTAGCTGGTTAAAGGATCACTAATCAGTCTGTCAGGCTTTAGCCTCCGGTTTGTACTGTTTACTGGTTAATACATAATAATGCACTTCAGGCCAGCCTGTGCAGTAAGGCAAATATATGTAATGAGTACTGTAACAGCTTCATGCAGGAAGTAAATAAACAACGTAACAGACATAAAAGCAGAAAAGGTGAAATCCAAAAGGCTTCTATCAAGCGTCGGACAGTTTAACTTTAACTTTCCAGAAGAAGTCGCAGCACGAGTTCAGCAGGAGTTGTTAGTGTTTGGGTCCGTGTAGCTATGCTGTAACTAGTGTGTGCGCTTATATGTATGTGCAGTCTCTGAGATTTAAGTGCAGCTGTGATGTATGTTTGTGAGAAAGTGTGTTTATGTGGAGAGAACATGAAACGTCTGTGCGGAGAGAACTAACCTGCTCCAAAGAAAAAAGAAGACCTTAAACAGCAGGAAAAACCCAAACATACTGCATGTCTGTCCTGATCTGGACTGGGGAGTGATTAACCCTTTAAGACCTACCATAGAACCAAGCCCGCCAGAGCTTATATTATATTTTTACATGCTGTGGAGCCATTTTTGGGAGCATTTCAAGTTGCTATACATCAATACAACCATTATAACCCAGATTTTAATAATATGTATGCATTAAGTGCATAGTAATTACATAAATTGCAAAAAAGTGCAATAAACTACAAAAAAATTGAAAATCATTTTTGTTTTTTTAACATATATTTCTAGAGAAATTTAAGAGGCTTCTCCCTCAAAACTGTAAATACAAAAAAGTTGCACAAACTAGTTTCCCACCACAGGAAATTTATTTTGAGAGTCTTCATAGTTTTATTTTTGAAATACACCAATTTTTATATAATGCAGGAAAAACGAAAATAAATATTATACTGCAAATTTGCAAAAAAACAACAACATCTGCATCAAAATAAACTATTTCCAGCAGTGCAATATGAGTCCTCAGCATCCCAGAAACGACACAGAAAGGCATAAAGTCAAACATAACTTTTAAAAACACCAGTATAGGCTCATAAGGTCCTGATGGTAAAAAACTACATTTCCACGAAAATGACGTCACTTCCGGTTTCGGGCAGGTCATGGCGGACATGCGATAGTTTGTGCTGACGTCTATTCCAACAAAGGAAGTGTTATGAACAGCTGATCGGATCGGTAAAGCGTGTTTCTGGAATATTGTTTTTGTTGCTGCAAGCGCTTTTTAATGCAGTTTTTGCAAAGCTATATGTGGAAGGAAACCGTGACCGAGGACAAGCTGATGGCATAAGATGTAAGTACAACTCCTCCGGTTTCATATGCAAAAAATGTTTTTGCGTTGCCTTACATGGTTGCAGTGCTATCGGGATTTAAAAATAGTTACGCAAAACAGAGCGTGCCCGCTCCCATCGGTTTTAAAGGGTTAATGCGTAGGAATGAAAAGATGCAGCTTTGATGGAGATGAACCTACAGAGGGCTTCATTCAAAGAAACCCTGAAACGGGAAAATGCAGCGACTCATAATCGTCTGTATCGCCCCGATGCGTCTGTATGCATGCCTGACAATATCAGGGTGTGCTCCTAATGAGAAGCTGGATGATGTCCTGGGTTATCTCCTCCCAGATCTGGATCAGGGCATCACCAAGCTCCTGGAGTGTTTAAATGATTTTACAGCCGCTGACATTTAATCTTTATGTAGGAAAACTGGAATAAAACTGAAACGTTCTAAAGATGAAAGGCAACACAAATGACTAGAAAGGCAAAGCAGCTAATGAAACTCATGAATCACCCGACCTGGTCTGTCTGTCAAAATCTAAAATGAAGTCAGCTTCTTTCCATCGGTCTGACCGACTCTTTATGCTAATTGAACGCAGTGACGTCCTGATGATCTAATGTCACGAAAATGAACCCAGTTTGTCTTCCTTAGCTTCCTTTTTGAAATGTCAGTTTCCATCATTATTATTTGCATTAACAGTCACAGCACAGTGTGTAATATGTTACTGCCAAAGCTGACGGGCAGGGAAAAGAAAATAGGAGACAGGAAATAATAAAAGAATAGAGCAACAGGCTGTGAACTCATACACCTGTAATAAAAAAACAGAAATCATTCCAGTGTTTAAGTGATGTGTTTTCACAAAGCGCCTGATTTTGGGAGCAGTGTGGGCCACGAACTTACCCCCCCCCCCCACATAGGTTAGTTGGTGTTGTGACTTTTCTCCTTTTTTCTCTTATTAATACAGTGACACTGTCATTGCCTTGTGTTAAGACTTGTAAAATAAAGCCCATTAAGCTCTGATTCAGCTCTACTTATTGCTCCCACACCCTCCTCTAGACCTCATAATGGGGACTTAACGATTTGGAAGACACTGAAACAGCTGTGTTAATGGTTCTGATAGATGTGTGTTGCTGCATGGCTGCTTATTGCTTAGCTTTGGTGTGTTTGGTAAACTCTCTCGACATGTAGCTCAGTTTCCTTCAGACGCTATTTTTTTATTTTGCCTTTGTTACTTCAGAAGTCATACAGGTGGAGACTTTTCCAGCCTTAGACCAGTAAAGCTTGTGCTGCTCTCCAGAAGCTAAGTAGGCTATGGTTTGTTTGGGGAGAGATTCAGTTGCATTGTTATTCATTGTTTAGCTTGCAATGCTATTAATTTGCTTCTGATCTAAAAGTCTCTTTGTGTTTGGTTGGATGGTTACTTGGGATCAGCTGTAATTCATTTTGAAAGAGGAGGAAAAATCTACTCAAGAACAAGTCAGAGAACCTATTGTGGGTATGAGGATGCTGGAGAAGTACATTTGAGCTGACTGCTCACTGCGAAAAACAGATGCTAGCATTGACAGGATCAGGGAAAGACAACTTTCATCGATTTTTGGATCATCCAAATTAATATGCAGAACATGTGGTTCATTGTAACAACGTCTTTAATTATGATCGGACAAAGAGCTGCGTGGTATAAAGAGCATCACAGCAGCTCTCACTACCCTCTTGTAAACCTTTCCTTTCTCTCTTGCTGCTCTCCGTCGGTCACAAATCACCCAGACACTCGTCTCCACCCACTCCACCCTGCATGCTCCACCTTCTTCTCTTGTGCATTGCTCAGACATCCTCTCACTCTTCATGATTGTGTTAGCAGTCCTGTTAAAAAGTTTTCTACTCTCTCTCCTAGACCTCTCCGTACCTCCACAGGTATGTCACCTGGACCAGGGGCGGAGCGTGGGGGTGGCTTACTGGGCTTAAGCCCGGGTTGTTTTGTCAGAAG